TTAATTCTTCAGAATTCTTCAACATAGCTTTTAATTATACCAACATATTCAAGAGCACAGATTTTAAACGAATTAGCCAAAGTGATTTTACAGATTTTTAAAACGTAAAACCTTTTTTGATTAAATGATAATTTGTATGCTTAACTTACAAGAATTTGGAGATTTAGAAATGATTATGAAGATACGAGACTGACTACTTTAAAGCATAGCTATTAGTAGAGGTTATTTTTGAAAAAATCTACTTAGTGAAAGTAAAACACTTAGAAGTTTTTATAAATGTAATTAGAAAGACTTAATTCACCTTCTTCTGGGAAGTAGTAAAATAAAAGAAAATGCAGCAGTTAGCAAGAATCTGTTCAACAGTCGTAGCCGTTGCTTGCCAACCGATGTATATAAAATTTTTCACTTTGTCACACAACCTATTTTATTACCTTAATAACTGAGTGCTTTTTTGGTGTTATCATTCACATATTAAGACTGTAAAACCATAAAAAATGTCTGCAAAGTAAAACTAGAAAGAAAAACTTGAGCAAATAAAGACAAAAAAAAAAAAGCAACGTTCTTTCAAATCTTCAAATGCAATGCCACTTCTTCGTTATTAATTTTAAGGCTTTATCCATTTATACACAGCACGAACACAAGCAATAAAAAAGTTTTACGTCCTTGCAAAACTGTGTTAGTCTTTTCCTTTAAGAACACATAAGCATCACCAAAAGCTTTGCTAAGGGTCTACAGTTGTCGAAATTTCTGAAAATCGTTCTCTATTAATTGAAAAAATCATTTTTTTTTTCTTAACTTTATTGATTTAGCAGCGATTCTTTTACACCATCTTTGACATAATAACTGAGTCCTATTCTGGAATAAAATCTTTTAGATTAGTTTTTGCACCAAAAAAAAAAATGCGAATAAATTAAGACTCTTGTTTTATTTAGCAAATTGCTTTGTTTCTTCAGGAAAGTTGTTACTTTGAAAGAAATAAAAATGAAATTTCTAGACGTGTGAGTTGTTATTGACAGGATAAAGAAGACTTACCGGTATAGATGAACTGCTGTTTTGTCTTCTAAAAGCTGGTCCATTTGAAAAGATGACAATGTTTAAAGCTTTACAAAAATTTAGGTTTTATAGAGACTAATCGAACGCCCAAAACCTAAAAATTCAATCCAAAACTTTTGAAATCAATAAAGTTTGAACTAAATTTCTTGTAAACGTCGATGACTACACAATCTTTTGTAGAAAGCACAAAACTTATATATTGTGTTTATTTTTTTTTGTACTTTATCCTTTTCGTTTTACTTACAAATGCATTTAAGCAGACGTCTTTGAAAAAATTTTTATTGTCTTTGAAGTTATTTTTTCTTATGCAATCAGTAAATTTTCTTTTCTGTCTACATCATTGGTGTATAAAAAATTGTGGACATGTATTTTCACCTCAAACACTGTTCTTTTATAAAAACAGAAAAAATTGTGCAGTACAAAAAAAAAAAAA